TGGTGACAGAGGGAAGCACCAGCACACATGGGTGTGTTGAGCTACTGATGGGGGTGTTTGTGTGGCTGTTGTACAGGGGATCTGGCATGGGAGTGAGTAACAGCCCTCTGGGTGCTGAGGGTTGTGCTACCAGCTCAGGAACAAAGCTGGTGGTGCTCTGCCCTGAGAGGAAGAGAAGTTTACAGGGTTGCAGGAGGAGGAGATTGATTTAGAGGTGCCAGGGATGTCTCCTGGGGGGAGCACTTGGCTCTGCCTGAAAGGTTTGAGCTGGCCTCTAGATGAGATGACAAAACATTCTGTTGAGAAAGTACTGACAAAATAAATGCTGTTGTTTTCTTCCCCTGCAGGGCCATGGGAAGTTTGCAGCAGGCTCTGGTGTGTTTTGAGAAGAGGCTTGTGGTGGCACATGAGCTGGGGGAGGCATTTAACAAAGCCCAGGCCTACGGGGAGCTGGGGAGCTTGCACAGCCAGCTGGGGAACTATGAACAAGCCATCTCCTGCCTGGAGCGCCAGCTGAACATCGCTCGGGAGATGAAGGACCGAGCCCTGGAGAGCGATGCAGCCTGTGGCCTCGGTGGGGTCTACCAGCAGATGGGGGAGTATGACACAGCCCTGCAGTACCACCAGCTGGACCTGCAGATTGCAGAGGAGACCAACAACCCCACCTGCCAGGGCCGTGCCTATGGGAACCTGGGGCTGACCTACGAGTCCTTGGGCACCTACGAGAGGGCAGTGGTTTATCAGGAGCAGCACCTCAGCATTGCAGCACAAATGAATGACCTTGTAGCCAAAACTCTGTCCTACAGCAGTCTGGGGAGGACTCACCATGCCCTGCAGAACTACTCTCAGGCTGTGATGTACCTTCAGGAAGGTAAGAGGCTGAATAATGCAGCACAGCATGTAGTAGTAGGTGTTGGGGGGTAGGGGAGAGGCCTGAAGATACTGAGAGATGTGAGGTACTGTGAGCCTGGCACTAAAAGGATAGTTTTGTTGGTGGATTTTGATGCAAAAGCTCTTGCAGACATCCATAGCTACTGTCTAAGAAGGCTGGTCAGCACACTGTGTCAGTCAGAGCTTTCCTGGCATCCTGCAGACACAGCTTTGCAAAGCACAATCTCTGCCTTCCTGGGGCCGTCTCAGCCAGCTCTGAGCTTGAATCCAGACTGGCAGAGTCTCTTTATAAAGCTTATTTACATCTGACCCTACAAGGTGTAAACCTTGTCAATAAATAGGATTGTATACCAAGAACTGACTCTGGGAAAATCACATCAGGTCTGACAGATCTCTGACCCTGAGAGCAGGTGTCAAACTGATATATGCCTTGCTGATAGCCACCTGGCTTTTCCTACTGCATAAAAGTGGGAGTGAGACCAGGTGGGTGAGTGTCCTCTAAGCTGGGAGTGAAAACAAGTTGTTTCTTAGGGAGGTGAAACCATCTGCTGCTGCTGAGCACCAGAACCAGTGCTGGCTTGTGAGCTGTGTTGCTGCAAGGAACTCCAGCTTGCAAGCAGCATCTGTTCAAGGTGGTGGCTCTGATGGAGGAGATGAGCAGTGTAGCTGGAGTGTACAAAGCTGGAAGTTAAAGGATTAATTACATCAGTTTGTCTGGTTTTCCTGAAGCTGACCTTGGCAGGATGCCTGGCACTGCCTGGCTTGGGTGTCCCATGGTTGGGTCCCATGGGTCCCAGCACTTGGCAGCTCTGTGGCTGTCTCTACCTGTCACAGGAGCCTGGGAGCCTAGGGCCCATCTGAGGTAACAGCTCACAGAGCTGTCAAAGCCCCTTACCCATTTTGACCCTCTCTCACTCCTTTTTAGGACTGAGGTTGGCAGAGCAGCTGGGACGCAGAGAAGATGAAGCCAAAATCCGCCATGGCCTCGGCCTCTCCCTCTGGGCAAGTGGGAACTTGGAGGAGTCTCAGCACCAGGTACACCGTGGTCTGCCTCATGCTGGCAGGCTTGTGTCCTCTGAGCCCTTTGGGTCATTCCTGTTCTCGGGGGAGGACACATGTCTGGTGTGTCCTGGGGAGGGTGTGCAGTGCACTGAGCTGGCTCAGGCCCTTGTGCCTTCCTACTCCATCTGAAGTCGCCTCCCTCTACCATCCTGAGGGGCTGCCTGGGGCAGACCACCCCTGCCCGAGGGTATGTCAGCTCTGGATCCTCCTGCACTCCCAGCCAGTGCTTTGTGCTGTAAGGAAGTCACCCTGGCTATTTTCCTTCCCAGCTGTACCGGGCCTCCGCACTGTTTGAAACCATCCGACACGAGGTGCAGCTGAGCACAGACTACAAGCTGTCACTCTTTGACCTGCAGACATCCTCCTACCAGGCCCTGCAGCGAGTGCTTGTCAGTCTCGGTAAGAGATGCCATCATATCCTGAGTGTGAACTCCAAGCTCTTGCCAGGAGTTGAGCTGAAGTTGTGGGGGGGCAGTTCCTGGTGCTTCCCTCATTCCTCCAATGCTGGGCAGTGTTTCTTTGCCAGAACAGAAATAAGGTCCTGCTTTAGTTTTCAGTCACCTTTGGATCTTCTGTCTTGCTTCCTCCATTTGTTTGTCTTTTTGTGGCTCGTTTCCCCATATATCATGCTGTTGCCTGCAACCAAGGTGATCTGTGGGACAATGTTCCCACACAGAGACTACCCTTCCCAGGTTTTAGTTCCAGTTGGGATAATAGCTCTCCCTGTACGTCTCCCTGCAGACCACGTTTGTGCTAGGTCTGAGAGATGGCTTTGTCTTTTCAGGTCACCATGATGAAGCTTTGGCAGTAGCAGAGAGAGGACGAACAAGGGCATTTGCTGACCTGCTTGTGGAACGCCAGACTGGGCAGCAGGACTCTGATCCCTATTCTCCAGTGACCGTTGACCAGGTCCTGGAGACAGTGAACAGCCAGAGGGGACTTGTTCTCTACTATTCACTGGCTGCAGGTTATCTGTACAGCTGGCTGCTGGCTCCTGGGGCAGGTGAGGTCCTTTTTGGAGGTGAGAGCCTATGAACAAGCCTTACAAAGGGAAAATTGCACTATTTGTAGCTGGGAATGAATCTGGGATCAGAGTTAATGTACAAGCAAATCCTTTCCATCTAGTACCTTAGAGGTGAATAGACTAAAAATTGTGCCATAACCACAGCAATTATGACATAGAAATGCTTATTCAGGGCTTTGATGTTCACCTGGAAATGGAAATGTTTCACGTGCTTAATATTTCCATTTTTCAGCCTCCAATCTATATGTATTTCCCAAAGGGCAGAGCAGTAATGAGATTCCAAGCATGTTGGCTCTGTGAGAATCTTCTATGCCTAAGAATCCCCACTTTAATTACATTTCTGTGCTTTATTCTTCCAAAAGCTTTTGACATTCATTCACCGAAGTGGATTGCAGAAAACAGAAGGGTGTCCCCACTTCCTGATAATGCCATTGAACTGCTTGATCCTCTGAATTCTCCTCATGTGAATGTGGAAAACACTTATCACAGAGGAGCAAGGAGGATTAATTTGAAGAGGATTGCTTTTTGCAGACAGCTGTTGCTCATTATGTAATAAAGCAATGACTAAATTTTCATGAGTTCTTTCTGGATATAATTTAATAATTGCAGCCCTTTACTGTGACAAATCTAAAGACATAAAAAAGCACTATTTAGATTGCAGCAAAAATGCTTTGGAAGAGAAAAAAACATTCACATGTGCCTGACTTCAGATGGGATGACAGTGATTGGGAGATACAGTTTTTCGGGGGTGTTTTGCAATGTTGCTTGTGTCAGTGTAAGATGGTGTTGACCTGCTGCACATCCAGTCACTAATGCACTCTTTAAACCTATAGTGTGCACAATAAAGTGCCAGTACTTCTATAGTGTTAATATCAAGCTGAGTTTACTGAAGTTATATGGATTAGAAGTGTAGGGTTTGCCACTAGGCTTTGTGAGCAGTCTCCTCCTTGCCCATACTGGGCCTTTTAGAAAAGCAGTTGCACTCTTGAAATAGGTGGGTTTGTGGCTGCCTCCTTGATGGCACTGCCAGGTGTTGGGAAGGAGAGGGACTGTGGTGCTTCCCCGTGAGCAGCTTTGCTGGGGAGCTCTTCAGAAGTGACTCCAGCCCAGCTACTCTGACCTTTTCTAGTTTCATTAGTGCTGATGGAGAGAGCAGGTTCAGTGACAGCCCAGGATCTTCATCATTCCACCTGGATGGTACCCTTAGAGCCTCCATCCTTATTCTGTGTTTGCTGCTGTTGCTGCAGAAGGAGTGGCTTTCTTCTTTATTCCTCCACTCTGCTTAACTGGTTTAATAATTTATGCTGTCAAGGCAAACAGGGTATCCAGAGCAGCCATTTAATGTTGATCTCAGGCTGTAGAACTAATTATAAGCAAGAAGGATATGCCAATCTGCATGGAGGAAGGTTTTATTTGCAGAAATAAGTTGAACTCTTAAAAGAAGCAAGTGTCCTTTATTTGGTTTATCCATTGTGAAACACTATCTTTTAGTATTTTACTGCATATTAATCCATCTTTTTCTTTCTTTGCATATAATGTGTTTTCATCAATATGAAAGAAATGCAAAATCTTTGTGTGATGTAAGGAGGTTCTGCTGTAGTAATAACACTTTTGTTCAGTATTTGAGCCTTGTGTGTTCAATTTATGTGATCAGAGGCTATTAGTAGATTTTTTTCATGTTCATCTTTTGAAATGGGAATTACTCTGGTAGGTGCTTGTATGGAAGATCTGTTTTATAATTTATATGAGACTGCTGAAGTAGCAAATGCATTCTGAGCATCACATAAAAGCATGGCTCTGCCTTCATGCCTCTGAACCATCATGTGCAAGGTACAAAACCAGGTTTTAAAAGCAAGGCTGTAGTTCAGAGTGCTGGGAAAGCCCCGTGAGACGCGGCACAGGGTGCTTGGCCCAGTTATACTGGAAATGCCAAATGCTAAGGGCTGTTCCAGCTTCGCAGGCAGTTACTCTCAGCACTCTTCCTGCCCTGCAGGAATAACCTCGTGATTCTGATACCTTGCAGGAATTCTGAAATTTCACGAGTGTTATCTGGGTGACAGCCTGGCAGAAAATGCTGGGGAATTCCATGAAGCCAACAGCATGACCCTGCAAACAGCAACAAATTCCGCACTGGAGCAGCACATCTCGAGCGTGCGGGAGGCTCTGGGGGTGGATTCCTACTACACCCGGTAAGTTGAGGAGGAAAGGTCCAACATCCTGGTTCCCCCTCTCCCACTGGAAAGCTGTTTGTAACAGTCTGGGGTGAGCTACTTGTCCAGAAGTCTAAGAACTGTGAGTCAGAGTAGGGGCAAATTTTCGGTGCACCAACAAACAAAAGGCTTTATTTTTGTCTCCATGGCTGTTTTTCTGCCAAGTGACAACATGTGCACATGCAAATAAGGTTTGAACCCATTGGCTGGGTAATGATTCTGTAGATTGGATGAGGAGGCAGATGCCATGTCTGACTGTACATGGGCAGATTCCATCCTACTTACAGCTTCCAATGTAATCAATTCCCTTTGAAAGGTTTACTTATGAAAAACTGCAAATACTATAGGAATTCCACCCCTCCCCTTGAAATATGTTCCCTTTTGGCTATAGCTGAGTAAATAATTTACAGTGAATTAATCCATCAGAAGAATTTCAGCAAAGAGGGAGGAACCTCAGTCCAATCCATTATTCAAATATGTCCCACAACTGTTCCCTCATTTTTTTTATTCTACACATTTATCACAAGGCAGGCTTTTTTGCTAATTTATACTCAATCTTATGATCTCTTGTGGTATTTGGTTTGATTCATTGATTGAATGAGTATGAATGTGTTTTCTATGCTGATATTTGCAAGTAGTTTTTCTCTGAATGCTTCTGTCTGAAAGGCAGAGTTGGGGATGTCCCTGTCCTTGCATGTGCTTTGTGAACAAGCATAAGATGTGCTAAAGGATGTGGCAGCAGTGCGACTTGCTGTTTTCAGTAAAGCTTTCTACACAGTCGTCAGTTGCTTTACTCTGGGTGTGTTAGCAACACACCAGCAGTTTGTAGGTCTGGTTTGCTACTAGTGCAAAGGGGACCTAAAAGTACATGTTGGCTGCTTTATTAACCAGCCCCCAAAACTCATGTGCGTGGATGTCTTGGCTCATGTAGGTTATACCATGTTTTAGTCGGGTTTTTTGAGCAGTTTTGTGTTTTTCTGCACCACCAAGATTTGTGAGTAAAACACTTGTGAGTCCCCAGGGCTGTGGACAAGTGTTCTCCTCTTCCTTGCCCAGCTGTGGTGGTTGAAGCACTAGCAGCACTGTCCCAGCCCCACCATTAGCAGCCCATGTTAGAGGCCACCACCCTGCAGGTCGTTCTCTGCACAGGCAGTGAACACCAAACCTGGTGTTCCAGGGATTATGTTGGCCAAGAAAAGGAGGTGATGGCAGTCAGTGTCCAAGGAGGGAAGCAAAGTTGGAGTGTTCTGAGTGGTTTTGCAGCTAGGAGATAAAGGCATGGAGACTGAGGTTTAATTTCTCTCCTGAGTGTTTTTGTTAGCTGTGTAACTATATATTCTTTTTCTTCCTGGTTGTTCTTCTGCTGTCTATAAACATTTTTGTAATCACATCATCTGTTACCTGTACGTGATGATGCATGATACAGAGCAATTTGGAAAAAGTCTATCAGGAGGAGGTGATGCAATCCAGGGAAAGTTTTACTTCAGCATGTGGTTGAGGTTGAGTCTGAAAAGCCTTTTCTCTCAAACTGGATGAGCATTTGTCACAAAGTTGTTGCTCTGTCCTTCATCAGTGTCTTCTTCACCCTGCTGTTCCCTATAGGGCCTGTGCCAGTAGCGAGACTGAGAGTGAGGCTGGTGATATCATGGACCAGCAGTTTGAGGAGATGAATAACAAGCTGAACTCAATGACTGACCCAACTGGCTTCCTCAGGATGGTGAGCAGGAACAACCTTTTGAACAGGTGAGAATCCAGCACTGCACTGTGGGGATCAGCAAGCAGAACGAGGCGTTGTGGCCACAAGCTTCTCTCTGCCTCTCAGGAGAGCTCTGCATCTTGCTCCTGATGGGACTGAGAGTCCATTACCATGTAGTGTTGTGTGTGCATCCAGCCTGGGAGTTTTGAGTACCTGGTGTGGTGGCTTTCCACACATAATGGCCTGTTGGGGTTTGGTTTTGTTCTACAGAGTCAAGTGTTGGATATGAAGGACAAAGCAGTCCTGCCAGGTTGTGGAAGGACATGAGGTGCTATTTCTTCATTTTTAGAAATAGAAATTTTGAGTCAGAAGGGGGCAGGACAAGGTCTGAAAGCATCCTATTCCTCTTGTCGGAGGGAGGACCCCAGGCACGGACAGGACCTTATGTAGGACTATGTATTTCACTGAAGAACTCAGTAGCTTGGTTTGGGAGATGTAGGGAGTAGCATCTTCATTGTGTTTCTAGGTGAATTTGAAAGCTGAAGATGATAGTCAGCAATTGTTAACCAGTCACTGTCCTAAGGGCAGCCATTTTGAATTGGCTGTTCTCCGGACCAAGCGCGGTTTGACTGTGAACAATTGCAGGGGAGCTCTGCTCGTCCCTGCTGGCTGTCAGTTTGGATCTTGGATCTGTCTGCTACCCAGTTACTATGGAAATACTGGTTTCTGTCGATCTTAACTGTTGTACTAATTAGCTGGGCATATGCTGCATCTCCAGAGTTACAGACCTGTGTGCTAGCAGCACAGTCTCTGCTCATTTTCTGCCTCTTAAAACTTGATCAGATCTCAATATTTCACGTTACTGTGCTGATTAGGGCAAGCATTCAAAATGAAAATTGAAGACAGAATTTTTCCAATGTTCCCACTCCCCCAGTGGAGGGGAGCTGCATGATCCAACCCAGAGCTGGGAGCTAGATCTGTGCTTCAGCACAGGACACCCCAGGCCTTTCTCAGCTGGAAAGGAAACACGTTCAGCCTGCAGGGGTGTGAGCCATCACTGGAGTTTGTGAGCTGTGCAGAGTGGTGTAGCTGACAGTGAGCAGCACACTGAGCTTGGGACAACAAGGAGACATCCTTGCAAAAGCCCTGAAGCTTCAGGAAGGAAGCAGATGAAAATCTGCATAGAAGAGAGCAGATTAAGAAATAAAATGGGAGCAGGCAGCATTCCTGTGTAGTGGTCTAGAGCTCTAACAGGGAACTGGTTAAGCAACAGCATTGAATGGTTTGCAAAAGCACAAGCTCTGATCTTGCAGTTCTAGATTGCAGCTCAGCTGTGTAGTGGCTCTTCTGCCAGCCAGTACTGGAGTGAGCTCTTGTAGCTGTGGGTCAGTGCTGCATCCATTATTGCTGCTATGGTGCTTCAGAGGATGGTGATATGTGGCCCACAAGCAGTGACTGAAGGTATGGTGTCTTGTTTGCTTTGGTTTCTGCACTGCAGGGGACAAAGAGGAGTAGGGCCTGCTTGGAGCTGAGAGTAAGAGCTTGTCTTCCCCACTGCCAAGGCGGGCCCTGTATTCCTCCTGTGAGGCCTGAATGCATGTTCACATCTTGTGTTTGAATATTGGAGATCCTCAAGGGAGTTTGTGTGGCTTGGGGCCAGTGCAAGTTCCCTCACGCACAGGAATTGCACACGCTGTTAAGGTTCCATATTAGAAAATGAGGCCCTGGAGATGCAGGGACTGTTTGAAACCATCCAGTTTCTGTCTGGCAACAAGTGGGTGACTGAAGAGAAGCCCTTGGTCTGGGATGAGTGCCTTCTGATTGCTGTCATCAGGTAATCTGGCTTTTAAGCAGAGAATATTATGATTCTTTGGCAGTTCTGTTTAGCAAAGCAACAATGTGGAGATTTGGCAGTTAGTGTAAGGAACTTCTGAAGCGGACTTTGGAGGAGAAAGAAGCACTGAAGGGATGCTGCAGAGTTCTCTATACTGGGTAATAGTTGTCTAAGTGTGGATGCCACTGATGTAGCCCCCAAGATAGTCCTAGATGCTCATGTCTTATGCAGCTTCTGGTTTTGCAGTGCAGCATGGTGAGCATTTGTAAAGGGCAAACTGGGGGGTAAGGAGCAGTGTAACTTGAGATGTGAATTCTCTTCTGCCAGGGCCATTCTTATCTCCCAGCTCCCCTTATGACTGCAGAGAGCAGTCAGCCTGCTCAGGGTTCATGACCAGTCCGGTCCAGTTGGAGACTTCCAGAGCAAGCTCAATGTTGCAGAAAGAGTAAAGTCTGTATGGATCCAGCCAGAGGAACCTAGGAGAAGTTGGCTACAATTCACGTGGAGCCTCAGCAGCACTAAAAATGTGGCTGTCACCAAGATACTGTTTCATCTTGTTTTGCTCAGGGTTTCATCCTGTTTATCATCATGTGATGTCTTTGCGTATGTCCCCTCTTCTCTTGTCGTGGAACCCTGCCTTCATCTTGTGTTTGGCCCCACTGGCTGTGGGTATGTTGTCACACAATGAGGACCAGCTGCTCCCAAATGTTGGGGAGCCAGGAGCTGCAGCAGAGCCTGCAGGGCAGAGGCCACACCAGCGGGACCCCATCCCTCAGCACCCAGTGAAGTGAGCAAGGCAGACCTGGGGATGGCAGCCAGAGTCAGCCAAGAGTCCAGATCATCAGATGCCTGGTGATGAGGCAGGCCTGAGGTCTTTGGAAGGCAGATAGGGAAGCAGTGGTTGGAGAGTCTCTTATCTGTCTGGTTCTCTACTGTACGGGGTGCAGTGCTGCAGCTGCCCGAGTACAGACCACACAGGCAGAGAGTGCTGGGTGGTCTGTGGGTTTTGTGCAACCACTGGTGGGTTCTGGAGATAATTGTGGATCCTTGAAAGCAGCCACAGGGAGCTCATATCTGAATGTTTTCTGGAGCATCCCACAGCTTGGTACTGTGAGTGTGCCAAGGCCCTGAATGTGGGGCTGGATCTTTAGGAAGGCTCTTGTTGGGGAAGGCTTGCAGAATGACAGACCTGGTGGACAGTCGTTGTCCCGAGGCTGTCAGACCACTGCAACAGTTAAGTCTGACTGCCAGCCCTCCAGAGTGGCTGTGTTTGGTCATGAGTAGTGTTTGAGTCATCCAGAGTCCCAACAAGTGCCAAGGCAAGAAGAGCTGGGTGCTGGCTGCAGTCTGAGCCCCTCCTGCCCCTGCTCAGCTACCCTCGTCCTCTGCAAACAGAGTCAGGCCCTGCAGGGGCTGATGGTTGGCCAGACAAGTCTGAGCTGCAGGCTTGCATGACGTGGGCTTTCCCCCCTTTCTCTGAGGCTGCCGTGGGATCGTTGCTTTGTTCTTCATCTCCAAACAAAGGGCGGAAGCAGAGCTGGTGCTGGTACAAGCAGGCAGCCCTGGGCCCAGCTTCTGCTGTTTCCTCTGCTGCCTGCAGGCCAAGCTGCCTTACACAAAGGGTCATAAATAAGCAGCACTGCAGAGCCTGTGCAGGGGCTTCCTGTTCCAGGAACTGGGAGACCCCTCTACTTTGTGAAAGCAAGGTAGAAATGGTCTGTGCAGCATCCCAGAAGCCAGCACTGGTGCTCTGTGGAGGGGCGTTTGGCCAGAAGATTCAAAAGTCTCCCTCTTGCCCCATTGAAGTCCCCTGAACTCCAGTGCCTGACAAGCCACCTGGGGAGCTGTGTGTTGGCCAGTACTGATTTGAGAGGAAGGGGAGTGGGCTGGCCAGGGCTGCAGGTCTGCTCTGTCTGCTACAAAAGATCTGTCCTCCTCCTATGGATTTTCTCACTCTTTGTTTACACAAACACACAGGCAAGAGATGTGAAAGATTTATGATGCTCCCTTGGTCTTCTTCTAATAAAAAGCAATCCGAGTGGTGAAGGAATAAATCTAGAGCTGCTTGGCTGTGAAACCAAGATGAAGGAGGCTCTGCTGATGAGAGTAATCAAGCCCTTATTCCCTGCCCACAGGCAAGAGATGTGAAAGATTTATGATGCTCCCTTGGTCTTCTTCTAATAAAAAGCAATCCGAGTGGTGAAGGAATAAATCTAGAGCTGCTTGGCTGTGAAACCAAGATGAAGGAGGCTCTGCTGATGAGAGTAATCAAACCTTTATCCCCTGCCATAAATTAGTGTTGAAGTGGCAGCCACAGGTGAGCCAGCGAGTGCCACCTGCTGGGAACGGGGTCCGGGCTGTGCTCGGGCTGCATCTCTGCCTGCTCCTGCTGCCTGGGCCGGGATGTCCTGGAGGGATGTGCTCTGAGCCTGGGGCTCAGGGCACTAGGAATGCCTGAGGGTGGAAAGGCACGGATTTTATTTCCTGATCTGATTTTAAAATTTGCACTACGTGAAGGATGGAAACAACTGAGCACTGACTTCATGGAGCCATTCAAGGAGGGACAACAAGTGCAGGTGTAATCTTCAGGTCTTGTTGTTTGCCCATTGCAGTATTTTCTTTTTGTTGCATGCTAGATTTGCACTTGGGTTTTGCACAAACTCATCTTCCTGTGATAAGGTCAGTGGTTGATGGGTCTTAAATTTGCCTGCAGACAACTGCAATATACAGGTATGCAGTGAAAACTGTGAACAGCACTTCAGGTTCCTAAGTTTGTAGAAAAACTCCATAGCAATGTGATGTGGTGACCTTGCTGGTAATGTGATGTGGTTCACCTTGCTGGTAATGTCACTGTTCATTGTGGTATGAAGCTGTACAGGAGAATTAAGCCCTGCCATGAAGCATCTTACAGACCAGAGTCCTCTGGATGGACAGGGCCTGGCTCATCATCAATATTAGAAGGTCAGGGCAACCTGTAGTGGTCCTCAGATTTCTGCAGCTAACTTCTGACTTGCGTTTTGCCCACAGGAGCTGTCAGAGCATGACCAGTCTGTTCAGTAGTACCATGTCGCCTGTTAAGGATGGAACATCATCTCTTCCAAGGAGGCAGACTTCCTTTACCAAGCCCCCACTCCGTGCACTCTACGACTTACTGATAGGACCTATGGAAGGAGTAAGCTGTTGGTGCTGACAAATGTACAGATCCACTTACGAAAATCCCCTCTCAGTGCAGGGAAGCAAGAGTAGGCAGCTTGGGTGTTGTATCTGAAGCATGGTGGTTTCTACCTGGTCTTTCCAGATGGTCAGACTGGGTGTGTTGGGAGGTGGAAACAAGGGATGTTTCTGTTGATACCAGTCAGTCATCTGTCAAAGTATAATGCTTTTGATGAACCTTAGCAGAAAGTGTTTCTGTAATTCATGAATTGGCAAAATCAGCAGCTCTTATCTAGGTACAAATAGGTCAGAGAGAAAAAGCAGTGGGTGTCCAAGGCCCAGAGCAGGCTCCAGTGAGGTAGTGAAAGGCTTGGCAGGGCTTTTGGAGAGTACAGAATAAGCAGATACAGGGTCCTTACTAGCAGCTGTGTAAGAATATGCAATTCAGGTCTTGTGTGGGGTTTGAAAGTCCCATTAGACCAGAAGCCTCCAGTTGCAGTATCAGTCACTGCAAGTGAGGGGTCAGCAGTTGTCAGCCTCCTGACCCTGCACAGTTGTGCTCCCTGCAGGTGATGGGCCAGAGACTGTTCCACCTGCATGAGAAATCACATGTGGCTGGTATTGCTGTTGTGGAGCAGAACTCATGTTCCTGTGCTTGGCAGTTTGTGTTTTTCTCCTTCTTCTCACTGAAGAGATTCTTTTTTGTTAAGAGTTGACACTAAAATTAATTCTTGGAGAAATAAGAAACACAAATGATCCTCATAGTTACATGTTCTGCACATACATCCATCATGAGGAAAAGAGCATTAATCTCTAGGAGTTTTACAGACAAATTAAAGGTTCACTAGGCACATGTCACTATGGCTTAGATGCTCTGATTGTGTTGCTGACACCTAAAGCTCCCAGAGCAGTAAGTAAAATGGAACACGTATTAAAAAAACCAACCAAACAAATAAAAAACCCCAAAACATTTCTGGAAAGCAGCACCTGACCTTGTGGGAAGCTGCTGCTTGTCAACTTGGGCTCTGCAGAAAGAGGCAGAAAGGGCTGAAAGGAGGCTGGTAAATTTAGCTGCAGAGGAGGAATGCTGGTTCACCCCAGGCAGGGAGTGCTGGGGAGGGCTCCTGGGGGCTGTGGGTTGTGTCAGGATGGTGAGGAGGGGGTTTGCAGGAAGGGTCCCCAGGCTGCTGTGTGTCAGCAGCTGCCCTGCATCTCCACCTTCAGGCCGTGGGGCAGGGTGATCTCTAGAGCTGTAAGGAGGGCAGGAGAAACAGCAAGATATCAGCAACTATTTTTAACTTCTTTTAAATTAAAATTTTCTTACCCTTCAGCAGTTTTGTTCTCACTTCAAATGGCAAGAGCCTTTAAAAGCATCTCACTGTCTCTCTTCAACATCCTACTGTTTGATGTTCTCCCTCAGAGTTGACCTATATTTTTGTATTTGACTTGCTCCAGACTCCCTTTGGAGGAGACCACTGGACTGATCTTTTTCTTTAGTAATGTTCATTCATCTTTGCTGCTGCCTGATAACTAAGGCTTGAGACTGACTGCAAATTCCTGTTACTCTTTGGTGCTAGTGATGTGGGACCAATGTATCTAAAATAAATCATCAGCTGTCAGTGCATCACAGTGCAGTCTGGAAGTCTGCTCCAGACTGCGGGAGAGGAAGAACTGCGTTATGGACCAGGTTGTATTTGTCTGAGCTCTATAGCTAAAACTTCACGTGGGTAGTAATACTCACCCTCAAAATGCACAATATCCTTTTCTTTTCTGTTGTACTAATTATCTGACATGTCGGCACTTCAGGATTTTCTGACATTACTGCTGCACCCACCTTGTTTCAAAAGTTTGTTTCCATTAGACATTTCAGAGTAGTAGTTCACTGTTGGCAGCAAAAGAAGGAAGGTTCTTCTCTCCCCTGTTAAATAGAGATTCAGCTGAAATAATCATGCTCTAAAGCAGGGGTACTGAAAGGAGTACTGTTTGATAAATAACAGAAAAGAGGTAGAACATGGATGTTATTTCTTCCAAGAAGAATGTATCTAGCTAGCACCTCAGAGGATTTCGTGGTTATTATTTATGAAATGTAAGCCAAGTGTTTGAAAAATATCCTTCCTTTACTGCTGTCCTGTTGAAGCCCCAGGATTTGTATCAAGAAGTAGTAATGTTTGGAGGCAGTGCAAGCTAGTTCAGGAACTCATTTGGAATGAGTCAGGCAGTCTTGTCTTCATTTGCATGGTCAGACTAGAGCCTGGTGCTTGAGAAGCTGATGGAGTGAAGGGGCCAAACTGATTCTCTTTTCTTTCCAGGGTTTGATGCACTCCAGTGGGCCTGTGGGTCGCCACCGCCAGCTGATTCTGGTTCTGGAGGGAGAACTGTACCTCCTTCCATTTGCTCTCCTGAAGGGCAGTTCCTCCAACGAGTACCTCTATGAGCGCTTCAGCCTCATCGCAGTGCCGTCCATCCAGTCGCTGAATTCCAGCTCCAAGGTCTGATGTTGCCTTATAAAACCTCTCTCTCATGGAATCTCTTCTGCAGGGTGCAGGTCCCTTATACATACTGGAATAGCAGCAGCTCTGTCCTGCTATGCCAAACTCAAGAATAGAACCACAAGTGTCCCACCTTCCCAAGGCATCCCCTGTTCTGATGAGCACACTGAGCCCCACTGTTGTGGAGTCTCAGGTAGCTCCTGCAGCACAGAATCACAGCCCCAGGCATGCCAGGAGGGACAAGGGGAATGGATCATCTGGATATCATCATTTAAAGGATAGTATGTCCTGGGGTGTGGAACTACATGGCAGCCTGCAGAAATGTAGGTGTTTGTGATAAATAGTGAGCTTCCTTGGCAAGTGTCCTCTCACATTCCTGTTATCTTACCTGCATTGTAGCTTTCTATGTGGAGAAGGCAAATAATGTCTCCTGAGCTGAAGCTGAAAGGAGAAGCCAAAGCCACAGAAGTGCTTTCACACTAATGTTTGGCACCAGCATCTCTAAGACCTGGGTCTCCAGGGAGAATGCCCTAAGTCACATCTGCTCTTGCTGATCAGTGTTGTACTTGTCTTGACAGATCTTTGAACCCATTTTCTCTTTCTTTCTCTCTGTAGTCCCATGCAAGGAAGAATACTCCTGCTTACTCCAGTTCTACCTCAATGGCAGCTGTCATAGGGAATCCCAAGCTCCCTTCAGCCGTGATGGACAGGTGGCTTTGGGGACCTATGCCCTCTGCAGAGGAGGAAGCATATATGGTGTCTGAGTTACTTGGCTGCCAGCCTTTAGTTGGCTGTGCAGCGACAAAGGAGAGGGTCATGAGTGCTCTAACTCAGGCAGAATGTGTCCACTTTGCAACCCATGTCTCCTGGAAACTGGCTGCTTTGGTCCTGACACCCAATGCTGACAGTAATCCAGCTAGCAGCAAGAGTTCTTTTGGGAACCCCTACACAATTCCAGAATCCCTTCGGATGCAGGATGATGCCAGTGATGTGGAAAGCATCTCAGACTGTCCTCCTCTTCAGGAGTTTCTCCTTACAGCAGCTGATGTCCTGGATCTGCGGCTTCCTGTCAAATTAGTGGTTCTTGGCTCTTATCAAGAATCCAGCAGCAAAGTCACTGCTGATGGAGTGATTGGCTTGACAAGAGCATTCCTGGCTGCTGGGGCTCAGTGTGTCCTAGTGTCACTTTGGCCTGTTCCTGTGGCTGCTTCCAAAATGTTTGTGCACGCCTTCTACTCCTCCCTCTTGAATGGGATGAAAGCCAGTGCAGCCCTTGGAGAAGCAATGAAAACTGTGCAGAGCAGCAAGCAGTTCTCCCATCCATCCAACTGGGCAGGTAGGAAGAATCTGATTTTTGACAAACAAGATGGGGTTTCCAGGAGGTGCTTTTGCTCTCAGCTGTTTGAGTTAAGCAAGGAGTGGTACTAGCAGGGAGCAGCACCTGCCCTCTGCTTTCCCAGAGTTTCGCACCTGCATTTCAGACTCTGATTCAGCTGAATGTGGTTGAATGTCAGTGTTATGGAAAACAGCAGTGTTTCTCTGAGTGTAGGAAGTGGATTACAGATTTGATATAATCTAAAGCAATTGTGAAGTGTTTTTCCTCACAATGGTTTCATGACTGGGAAGAAATAATGTGCAATACAATAGCTCTATGTTTGAATCCTACAGGGTCAAGTTTCCTGTGTGCTTGGAATGGAGTTAACTGGAGCAAATTTACAGAACTTTCTCACTGAGAATTAGTGAAGCTCTGACAAGGAGGCAAGAGAGTGCTTCTGGAAGTAGCAGCAGCAACCAGTAGCTGTGATTTCCGTGACCTAAACCTTATAGGGCTTGCACCTCTGACCTTTTTAGAAGGGTTTCCCATCCTTTCACGCAAAATTTCTCCACAGTATAAGCTCCAGAGTGAAATGCTGGTGCTTGCCTCCTCTCAGTTAGATGAGTGAGTTGAGATTCAGAAGGAAAAAGTCTTGGATTTAACAGTGTTGTTCCAGGGTTATGTACAAATCACCTGCATGTTTTTTTCCCAGTGCAAATCTGGTTTATGAAAGCTGTAGTCATTCCCCAAATGGGTATTTTTTGCAGGCTGCAGTGCCATGTTTTTTACATCAGGAAGCTGTTGTGAGTGTGGCTCTGATGTGAACTGTGTGTAGGTTGAGGAGTGGGAAGCTCACTAGAGGCTGCTAAAATGAGAACTTGGAGTTAGTCTGCAGAGTGATTTCGGGCTCAATGAGTCCAGCACTAGGATATGTTTCAGACAACAGCAGTTGGGAGCTGAATTCAGCTACAGTCCACAGTGCACTTTGTATTTTGTGTTCCTTCCAAGATTTTTCTGTATCAAAGGAAAGAGCATTTAAAAAAAAAAAAGGAAAAAGTGGCTGCTTCCTAGGCAAAGAGGAATGAGCATGGACATGGGGGCCTGGCATCACCACCAGGTAGAGGCTTCCAGTTACTCAGCCTGTCTTAGTATTGCCCTTTCCGTGGTATGTAAGTAAGTTCATTCCACACATCCCTGCCTTTCTCCTCCAGCTCCTGATGGTGTCTCCCAGCACCAGAGCAAGGACAGGCAGCCACCGACCTTGCTGCAGGGGGTGGGAAGGGGCAGGCAGAGCTCCTTGTGCTGACATTTGGAGAATCTGGCATTTAGATGGCACATAAGCCAAGATGGGTTTCTAACCAAGACAGGGAAAGCTCTCAGGTTTCTGAGGTCGGTTTCTGTGATGACTCTTCAGCTCCTGTTGATTTCTGCTGCTGTAAAGGATATGTGGCGTGTGCCATGAGAAGTTCAGCTTCAATACAGTTTGTCTACTTGCTTGAAGAGGAAAACACTGTTGATGTAATAGAGGAGGACATTAAGAAGCATCTAGAAGCTTTCTGGAAATTTAGTATATGGGACTGGGTGGGGAGTGGGCAGCTGCTCTGGAAAGAGAATATCACTCTGTAGGGTGCAGGAAACCATAATTCTCTTAGTCCAAGAGTGCAGAGGATATCTGCTTGTTTTGAACATCTTAAGTGAAAAAAGGAGACTGAGCATCTTTTATTCTGAATCCTGCAGGCTTCATGCTTATTGGGAGTGATATGAAGCTGAACAGCCCTTCTTCACTAGTAGGACAGGCCCTGACTGAGATTCTGCAGCACCCTGAGAGGGCACGAGATGCTCTGCGTGTCCTGCTACATCTGGTAAGGGAAAGGAAGCATGACCACATGCAGCAGCACAGGGGCATTGCAGCCCTTGTTGGAGAGTTACACAGATGCAGAGTGTGTGCATCTGTAAAGGGTGCAAGGGGAAGAGAAACACCTTGATGTATAGCCACTCCCACCTGAATATATACCTTCAGCCCTCCCTTACCATAAGGTAGGCTCTTGTGGAAACTCTGGGCCAGTGTGAAAAGACTGGAACACCTGATGGAGTGTCTGGAGCAGAAGGAGGCAGAGTAAGCCAAGTCTTGCATTGTATTGTGACAAAATCCTCCCTCAGCTGTTGAATTTGGTCTCTGCTTTAAAAATGGGATAATAATTGGGCTTAATTGTTTCTACAAGAAGATAGCTATGAATGTTGCATCCATGGGGATGCAGAGCACAGTGGCTGCTGTCTCCTTGCATACTTGGAAGAGGCACTTTTATCCCAGATGTGCCAGTAGCCTGTTATGGGGAGTAGCAGGACTGAAGCCAAACTGCCAGATGACTGGAATAATCTCTCATGACTTTCAATACTTTTCTTTCGAATGTGTTCTCTGTGGTCCCACAGGAATATGGAGTATCCATAGGATGATGGAAACCTATGACTATTGGTAGTCATCCCAGCTGCTTTTGTGGTTTTGTGGACACATATCTCTCTCTACTGTGTACCAGATAGCTGCAGCCTGGTAATGAGTAGTGTGTATGAAAGATTGGAACCTAAGCCAGAGTCATCTCTTGGGGAGAAACCCGGGTGCCAGGGTTACAGAAACTGTCACAAACTGGTAGTTCCCTGTGGCATTACTTTCCACACCGTCCCAGAGAATATAGATACCACAGTGATTTTGCTGAATTACTGGAGCCTCTGCTGTCATGTGCACTCACACCCTGTCATGTAAGACAGGTCAGGTTCCACGTGGGATTTGCTGCCTCACAACCTGTTCTCCCTGCTTCTTTACTGTGTAAAAAGAAACAGTTAGTAAAAACCTCTTAGAAAATAAGCTAATGCTGTACTTTCCCCAAAGGTGGAGAAATCACTGCAGCGAATCCAGAATGGGCAGCACAACTCCATGTACACCTCCCAGCAAAGCGTGGAGAATAAAGTTGGTGGCATTCCAGGCTGGCAGGCACTCCTGACTGCAGTAGGATTTCGGCTGGACCCTGCAGCCAGTGGCCTCCCAGCAGCAGTTTTCTTCCCAACCTCGGACCCCGGGGACAGGCTGCAGCAGTGCAGCACCACCATCCAGTCCCTCCTAGGTGAGCAGCAGCCCAGCTCTGGGCTCTGTCCCCATCTGGCCAGGCAGACACCCACCTTTCCCTGCCTTTCTTGGATGCAAGTCTGTAAAATGACTGATGTTTTACATCAAAAAAATAAAAGTATTTAATAGGGTAGAGGTTCTAGAAGTTAAGTGTTTATGAGAATTTTGTCACAGATGGGGATCATTTACCAGTGTATCCAATATCTGAGAAGTGTGATGGGACTATTCCTTTCTCCCAGCTCTCAACCTGAAGATGTATCATCAGATGTAGAGTGGGAAAACCTTTGGCTTTCTGGAAATTGCTGCTGTTTCCAGAACTCTTCAGTGATGTGAGGGAGAGATTTTAGGAATTTTCTGAGTTTGTGTTCTGTTCAGATTGCTCTATTTCTAGCAGTCAAGATTAACAGATACTGAACAATCCCTGTTTCTGATGATGTTTTTCAGGTTTGCCTAACCCTGCACTTCAGGCACTTTGTAAACTTATCACAGCTTCAGAAACAGGAGAACAGCTTATTAACAGGGTGAGTCAGGAGGTTTTCCTCCAGTACCAGTTTCCGAATGGTTCTTCCCAGGTCAGTACATTCAAAAATGCACAGAATGGTTTATGCTCTGGGTTATCAACCCAGAGCTTGCTAGGAGACTTTAGGGTTGAAATTCTAAACATGGCTGTTTGTGTGAATGAAAGTGTCCAGAAGAGAAGAATGCAGGTATGTTACTGGGCTGCATGGCCTTGGGTCTCCCTGTCAATGACAGAAGTGAAAACGTGATGCCTCCTGCAGTGAGGGGGCAGCAAAATCTGGCAAATTAGGTAGAACCACTAATTGCCATTTGGCCATCCTGGCTATGGCCCATGTTGGCTGATCTTTGTCCACTGTAATTACCAGAGTCCCAAGGTATAGTTGACTTTGGATGATGCAAGGTCTGTCAGTAAGCCAGTGTCCCCCCTGGGGTGTGCTCTGGGCTCTGCTGAAAGGGTTCCTGGGCTGTAAGAGAAAGGCAGTGCTGCCCGTGGCTGTGGGACTCCCTCCTGCTCCCTCCTGTCTCACTCACATTCCTCCCTCTCCCCAGTTTTTCTAGCATGCCTAACCTAACCTTCCTCTGTGCCTCCAGCCTGGCTGGCTTTCCATTATGTGTTTCTTGCTGTCCTGATTAATCTTCTAATTAAGTTTATCTTGATCATTTGCCTGCTTCAGTAGGTGAACACACTGCACATAGTGAATGGACAAAGATCTCACTTTCTTTTCCACATGCAAAAGTGTTGTAGGGCAGTACCATGGTGGGATTATCTCTGTGTAGCTTCAGAGAGCCCCTCTTCACTCTGTCATGTTGAGTCTCTCTGCACAAAATGCAAAATAACAGCCAGTGTGGCTGTTAGCCACTAAGCAGCCTATTATTCTGAGTCTGCTTGAATGAAAGGGTTTCTTGTCACAAGCTACAGGACTGTGTGAGGTATCTCCCATGTCTCGTCCTTGGTGGCCTTTTGCTTCCTTGCCTTGGCTCTTTTGTCAATGCCTGAGACTTCTGCAGTGGAATAGCAGGGTTATTTTTTTACTTGTGGCCGCCAGAGGGAGGCCCAGACTGGAAGAGATGTGATGAATACAAAGACAACATTCCCATAGGTTGGAATGTGATATAGTGTCCAGGAGATTACTTCATGATTGTCTTCTTCCTTGGGTGATTGAATCACTCAAGGAGAAATATTTGGATGCTCTACACAAGTAACAGAAGATGTGCTTACCAGTTCCTCAGCTGCCCCGTGCAGTAAATATTGGCAGGGGTATGATGTTGTTTTTGCAAATGTTCTTCTCTAGCCCAAGCCCCAGGCAGAGTTTCCTTTTTCACAAGAATCTCTCCAGTAACAAGTTACGGTTTTCAGCTCAGCTGTCCCTTCCTCTGCGGTTACTTGTTTTCCCCCTTCCTTCCTCTCAGCTAAGGCTCTGCCCATCCCAGAGGACAGGAGACTGTTCAGAACTGGAGCAGAACTGACTGACAGTTCAGCTGGGGGTGCTGCTTCCTGCCCCTCCCCTGTGACTGATCGTGTCAAAGGGGGCAGGTGCTCTTGGTGTTAGTGAAGTAACAGGGTGGGGAATCTGATCTTCTGGACAGAAAATGCTTATTTTTACAGCAAAACAGGAGGCAGGAACTGCAGAAGAGAGAACTTCAGTATTACCATGTGTGCAATGAAAAGTTAGGGGTTGCTGCCTGCATTACGTGCCAATAATGTACCCTGGAGAAAACAAGAGAAGGGCTTGGTTTATGTTCAGACTTCTGCCAGAGTGTGGGTTGGCCTGAGAACCTGCCTGCAAAGTCCCTGAATTGATTGTAATGAGCTGGGCACTCCTGGAGTCCAGCTGCCTGTTCCCATGGTGTTGGACTCCTGATCCACGCTCAGGCCATTTCCATTGCTTCCTTCTTTCTCTGGATAGAGCATCTTGCAGTCGGGAGTTGTTTTGCATGTGGATGTGTCACTGCAGGGTTCCCTCTCCCAGGCATTTTGTAGCACAGAGTAACCCATTTTCTTTCTTTTCTCCTCTCTTCCTTTCTTTTTATCTGCTGCCCGAAGGCTGTTAAAAATATGGTGGGAATGGTGAGTATCAGATGCACTGGGGAATGACACTGCTGTGCAGGATAAAGTGCCTTGGTCACTGGACCAGTTTCCCTGCACTGCAGAGCAGTGTCTTCAAGCTACATTCAGGCCTGGAATTTGCTCCACAGGGCTACTGTGGAAAAAGACTGTAAGCTTTTGTGGGTTGTGGGAGATGGGTGGTCCTGAGGTTAGCTGACTTCCCATCCTTCCTCCCCTGGCTATGGTTTTGAATTACATGGGGTCCTGGCACCTTAATTTGTGTTAGATCTTCATAAACACATTTTTTCTCTCCTTTGCTACTCCTGTCCCTTGGGTACAGTTGAGAAATTTCTTTCCTGGAGGCTATGGAGGTATTAGGAAAGTCTTCCATGGTTTCATATTACTTGTTCTACCCAGTTAAATGCTAAGAATTAGTTTCTTGGGATTTGCATAAGGAGCATGATTCAGTCATGGAATGGGCTTTAATATAATTCTGTGAGCAGCCCCCAAGTATCTCCTTTTTCTTTCACTTCACAGATTCTCCTGCTGTGCTTCCTTCTTGCTCAATTCCACTGGCCACACCCCCAACCCTCACCCTGTTCTCTCCCTGCTTTTGCTGCTCAAGTTTATCCATTGTTGCTGTCCCTGGACTGTCCCTCTGCCCAGACCTCTTCATCTCACTGTTCTCTTTGGGAGCAACAGCTGACTTCTGGGAGTACAGGGAAAGGGGTGTCTGCAGTGCATTTCCTCAGCTGTGACTGTTGGAAAAGCAGAGATGGGAGTTGTAAGAAGTGGCTCATATCTGTGTTGTTATCCTCAGCTGCATCAGGTTCTGGTTCAACTTCAGGCAGGCGAGAAGGAGCAAGATTTCTCCTCTGCACCAATCCAGGTTTCCATCAGTGTCCAACTCTGGAGGCTACCTGGCTGTCATGAGTTCCTGGCAGCTCTAGGTAGGAAAACACTTTCTTCCGTTGTCTTTCTAAAACCACTGCTAGTGTCTCATATGGTGGCTTGAAGTAGTGATGAGACTCAGAGCTTTGGATTTGTCTGGTGCTGGTTGGTCTTTGCACCTCCAGATGCAAGCCCTGACAGTGCAGTTTGTTTCTGCCAGTTCACATGCCAGAGGTAAGGTCCAGTTTTCTCTTAGGCACCAAAACATCTCCTGGGTCAGCAGAACATGGATTTCAGGGTTTTTAGCCACTTGGTGCAGTTGGTTTAACCCCAGTTTTTATTTCAGGATCCTGTTCCTTCTTGTTCATAACACATACTTTTGTGTGACCACTTTTGAGTTTGCTTCTGGCCTTGTACAATTCAAACTGTGCATTGTAGTTTAAGAGTCGCCACCCCAGGACACTGCAGGATCTCACATCTTTTTATCCTGTTTGTGTTCCATATGACGTCAGACATGTTGAAGACATAAGATCTTCCTGTCAGATGTGATTTTCTGCTCCATGTTCCATACAGGTTTTGACCTTTGTGAAGTTGGCCAAGAGGAGGTGATTCTGAAAACTGGGAAACAAGCTAACAGGAGGACCATGCACTTTGCTCTTCAATCCTTGCTGGCACTTTTTGGTAAAGCTACTTGCAGTAGTTTTTGCTCTTATGTCATCTGGTGATTTGATCAGAATGGCTTCTGTTGAAATCTCAGACTCTTAACCTTTTTTTAGAGCTCAAACACACATCATCACACACATCACATATGTCATACGTCGTACAACAGGTGCAGCAAATGTTACTTTTACATGGGAAACCAACACTGAGATTAAGCTGAGGCCAAAGCTGGGAATAGAATCCAGCAGCTGGAGAATGTATAACTCACCCTTGTTTTTAAAATACACAATGATAATGAATTGACAAGTGGACTGAAGTTCCTGCCCCTGGATTTCCTGGGCTGTGCACTTTTTTTTTTCTCACCCAAGTAGTAGTTGCGGTTTTTGAAGCAGCAGAGAGTCTGAGTGCATGTTTTGTAGCATTTCCTCTGAATTCTCATAGAACATTACCTGGTTTTGTTTGATTTTACTGTGTATCTATGGGCATATTTGTACTTTTTTCTTTTCATCTTTTCTAGATTCTACAGAGCTACCCAAGCGCCTTAGCCTGGACAGCTCCTCATCACTGGAGTCACTGGCTTCTGCTCAGTCCATTTCCAACCCCGTGCCCCAGTATCAAAACCCTCCCTTCTCTCCTACCTGTCCAGACAGCCTGGCATCAGATGCCATTTCTGTGTACAGCCTGAGCTCCATTGCTTCCTCCATGAGCTTTGTTTCCAAGCCAGAGAGCACACCAGATGGAGTGGGACACAGGGGACGCCAGGACTATGAGAGGCCCAAGAACATCTATCCACACAGGTCTGCAGTACAGAGCCAGTTGTCACCACCAGCCAGCACTGTAGCCAGCAAAGATGAGGAAGAGTATGAAGGTTTTTCTATAATCAGCAATGAGCCTTTGGCCAGTTACCAAGAAAACATAAAACCAAGATTTTCCCCTGATCACAAACAGCCCAAAGCTGGTCAGACTGGAGGCATTAAAGAGTCTGCCAATTCCAAAGGGAGCATAAGTACTCCAAATTCACCTGTTAAAATGACACTTATTCCCAGTCCTAATTCCCCTTTCCAAAAAGTTGGGAAACTTGCAAGTTCTGATACTGGGGAATCTGACCAGTCTAGCACTGAGACTGACAGCACTGTCAAATCCCAGGAGGACAGTAATCCAAAGCTTGATCCACAAGAGTTGGCCCAGAAAATTCTGGAGGAAACTCAGAGTCACCTCATTGCCGTTGAACGTCTTCAGAGAAGCAGCAACCAAATAGGCAAGAGCAACAGTTCAGATGATGGGGCTTCCAGCCCAGCAGGTGTGTCTGCATTCAGATCTTCAGAGACCAGCGCGTTCAGTCGCCCAGTCAGCTCCAGTCAGAAGAACCAGTCTTCACCTCTGGCGATGAAACCAAAGCCTCCAACAAGGAGTTCATCCCTTCAGAAGGTGAGCTCTGGCTATAACAGCCCTACGGCGTCGGAGATGTCACACAAAGAAGGCACAGGGCAATACAGTGGGCAGCCATCTCCCAGCTGTGATTCACATGGGTCCTTAACTGAGCAGCCTCACTTTAAACTGAAGTACCCCAGCTCTCCCTACAGTGCTCATATTTCTAAATCACCCAGAAATACCTCTCCAAGCTCAGGGCATCAGTCTCCTGGTGGCAGTACTCCATCTCCTGCTCTTTCCTATTCCTCAGCTGGTTCTGCTCGCTCAAGTCCAGCTGATGCCCCAGACATAGACAAATTAAAAATGGCTGCCATTGATGAAAAAGTGCAAGCAATTCACAACTTAAAGATGTTCTGGCAAAGCACTCCCCATCACTCCACTGGCCCAATAAAGATTCTCCAGGGAGCTCCTGGAACAATGACTTCTAAAAAAGATGTCCTCAGCTTGCTCAATTTATCTCCACGGCACAGCAAAGAAGAAAGCACGGATAAGCTGGAACTGAAGGACCTGTCTCTTGGGCAGCACCTTGCTTCTCCACAAAAGAACCCCCCAAATGGACACAGGCGCCCTGAAAATACAACCACAGTGACATCAACTCATTCTCCACCTTCCAGCAGCACCCCAGAAACCACACGCCCCTTGAGGCTGCCCTCTGGGAACGGTTATAAGTTTTTGTCACCAGGAAGATTTTTTCCTTCCTCCAAATGTTGAAATGCCTTGAGTACAAGCTGATGACTTACAGTCTTGTAAAAGTATTTGCTTCTGCCCACTTGCCTTTATCAATACAGAACCATTATCTGAGAAGCCGTGGTCATACCCACAGCTGGCAATGCACAGGAGTGTGACAGTGGCCCTGTCTGTCCCTGGAATAGGAGCACAGGCTGTGCACAGGTGGGTTTTAATGTCCCTCATCAGAAGGGCCAGACCCACTTGGTAACAGGTTCTAAGTAGTGTTCAGTATTTGCAGCAACAGGTCCAATGAATCTAGTTGTCTGATCATAAAATATGAGCTTTTAAGCCACCTACTTGTATTTCTAACCTAACAGGAGGTTTTACAGCTGGCTATTTATATAGATATTATACATATCAGGGATTGGAGAGGGAAGTGAGAGGAGGCAGAACTTCCACGTGTACCACAAAGAAAGTATGCAAAAGTTTCTGCCTGGAGAAGTACAAGCCATTTATTTGGTTCCTTTCAAAGGCTGACAGAGAGGACAAGGTAACATACCTCTAGATAACCTCTGCCACGTTACCCAAACAGGAGACATTGCTGGCAATAAAACTCCACAGCAGCAGGATACTGGCACTTCTCCTGCATCATTTAGATGCTGGTGAAGCAAAGACGGGACAGAGCTGCCCTGTCCTAAAACCTGCATCTCCAGTAACTCTTCTGGAGGGAAACCTTTCAGGTGATCCTTTGCTGGTTGATCTGCTTAAATCAATGTTTGGGGCACAATGAGTAAGGTGAGCCTCAGCCTGAGGTAGTGAGTGTGTGTCAAAGAGACAACTTCTGGTTTTACTGAATGCTTTTGTCTCTCTGGCACACAGTGGTAGGATGGTTGAATTTTCATCTTGGGAAGTGTTTGGGCAGCACAGGTGTCTTCTGTCTGCTGAGTGTGCACAGGAAAGGGTTATGGACACTGAAGCTCAGGACATTATTTTGCAGTTCCACTGTAGGCAGGAATGTGACATCAGTGTATGTGATTTAGGAATCACCTGACCCAATCTTCACTAATCCTGCTAAAACATTCCACACAGCTCATCTCAGGCAGGTCTGCAAACCTCTCCCCTCCTGTGGAAGCAAGTTTATCTTGAAGCAAATATACCAGTCTGAGCAGATGTCAGTGCAGCCAGAGCACGTGCACGAGGCAGCAAGCAGTGGCTGCAGGCAGAACCTGCGGGGGAAGGAGCCAGGAGCCCGGGGTGATGTGTAGAGTGAGCTTTGCTAGGCTGGATGGGCCTCAGGTGTTGTGGATCAAGTTGGAGATTCTTTTAATTGGCTATTGAATGTGGTGATGAAATCAGGATCAAAATGTTAATTTCCATGCACTGAAAGCTGTGGGCAGGTGGTGGCAGAAGCTCAGCCCCACTGCACACGCAGATCCGAGCTCTTCCCAGGCCGCGTGCGATGAAGTCGGAGCACTGGATCACCAAAGCCTGTGCGTTCTGTTCGGCACTCACAAAATCCCCTGACTGACTGAAGGCCAATCACTTCACCTCTCCATGCCTCGTCTTCCCTTGCTATCTAAATGGGGATAGTAATACTTATCTACCTACCTCTCAGAGGTGTTGTGAGGCTTCATTAATTAGGCCCCGAGTTTTAGCCGGGTCTGAAATCAACTTCCTGCAACTGAGGGGTGCGTGCAGTCAGCTCAGTAAATGAATTAGGGGAACATTGCTGATGCAGGTAATTGTTGCACTTATGTCTGGATGCTCTTCTTGAAAATATGGATATGATAATTTGTGATTTTTCTTAAGGATCTTGGAGGAAAAGCATGACAGCAGGACAGAGTATTCAATCCTGATACCGGAACGTGCCGTTACTTAGGCTCAGCTTACTCATGGTGCATGGATCAAACAATTGCTTTGAGAATTTTCTGGAACCCACTGCTTTTGGGAGAATGTTTCCCTTTTTGCCATTGCAAGTAATTTAGCACAAGCAGTAAAGGCAAAGATCCTAGGGCTGTGTTGTTATACAGCCTGTCAACTAGGGATGGTGGGGGATCACAACAGTCTCAGTGCAGAAGGCTAAGCTGAGTGTTAGACTGTGCAGTGTAACAAAACAGCTGAGGAAGTCCCTCTAACCCACCTGATGCAAAGTATTTGTCTGTACCTTACATCTTTCTGTGATGGTTTGGTGCTAGATATCATTTTATCATCATTTGGCTGGAAAAGTTGGAATAGTGAGTCAGAATGAGTCGGTGCAGCACCTGCCCGTGGTGCCGACCATGGTGCTGCTGGTGGTGCAGCTTGCTGTGGTTACAGGACTGCTGAGACTGTGACCCAGGCTGTTTGTAACCAGCATAACTGTTTTAAAACGACAGCCCAGGAACATCCAGGGTGGAAGTGGGCAGCTTTTTGTTTATAGCAACAGCAAATACTCCCTGTTGTGCTGCATAACATGCCAGAAATAAGCCTCTTTACTTGTAGTTTACTTCCATAACTAAAGGATCTTTTCATCTGTAGAAATTCTCTGTTGCCATTTTGGTACAACCCCTTTTCATGCTGCCAGTGGGTTTCATACTGGCTTAAAGTTTTTAGAAAGAGCTAAATCAGGGCAAGGGGGTGGTTTTTCTGTTGTTTGGTTGTTTGTTTTTTTTTAAGGGGGGTGGGGGGAGAAACAGGGAAGGGTTCAGATGTAGAGGAAGTTCTGTATTTGGGAAATTGGTGTTGTATAAATATGGAAAGTGAGTGTCACTAGAACAAGTCCTGTGGGAAATGTTCCCACTGACTTGACACAGGGCACTTCCATTGGCTTGATGAGAGCCATGAAGATGCATGCTTGCTCATGGCTGGGAGACACTTCACACACCTTGTGCCTCACTCCTCCACCCCCTGAATGAGAAATGACCCCTTTGTGAGGAAAAAAGAGTTTTATCAGGTTTGCCCAATAATGTGGAGAAATTCAGGAAATGAAAAGAACATGTTCTCTGTTTGATATTAGAATTCTTTCTGTGGAGTTTAAATGCATTTGTCGTTGTTGTATTTGTGCATGGTACAAGTGACAACACTGCTAAATACAGTGAGCAGTAACAATTAGGTATTATCCACTTTCACGTTAAACCTGCCACATGCAACCATTCCCCAAGGCCACAGAATATATTTTAGTTTGATTTTCCCCAGTATGTTTTACTGTGTGAGATTACAGATTTTCTGTTGACTATTTTTAGCTCCAGCTAAATGGGAAAAGTAAACAATATAATAAAAATCCAGCTTAATTTGGTTTTATTGGTTAGCCTGTACTCTGGCCTAGTGCTGATTTTCCTTCTTTTTAATCATACCTTCAAGGAGCAAAGCACTGGAGGGGTGCTGAATCACTAGGCTGTATTTCCTTTCATAAGGTCAAACTCGTTCTGTGAACATCCCTTTCAAGTTGCAGAGTAGATCCAGGTGCACAGGAATGTCTGTGAATCTCAGAAACACTAGTGGTTTCAGGCTAGATGGTAATCATGGTTTTGAGCAGTTTTGGGTTCATTGCATTGCCATGCTGTCCAGAAAGGCTGCAGATGTGTGGGACCTTGGCCCCTCTGTGGCAGAACACTTCCAGAAGGAGCGTTGGAGATGGTAACTCAGACTGTCAGCAAAGACTCTTCAAGCAGCAGCCCTTGCTCTCCTTGTATGCAGTGTTAGCCATGTTTGGCCTATATGGACTTTCTCTGTAAATTAAAACTCTGTTTCCAGACAGCATTAAACTTTTTATATTATGAAATTTACCATGTAAAAAGATTTTCATATTTTTATTGAAATTGCTAAGGCATTTGGCCTTCTTTCTTTGTGACTTCAGTGTCTATTAAAGCATGAGTTCTCTCAGTACTTTAGTCTCTTGGTCTAGGATGAAGTTGGGAAAGAACTTGTTAGCACACCTTGGGCCCTGGCACCCAGCCTTTTGCTTCTGAGACACAGAGGAGTCGTGCATAGACCTGCCTCCTCATGGAAGTGAGGGGCTGGTGAGAACCTCCCTCTGCTTGTGGCAGAAGGTAGCGTTCCTGTTAGAAATTATGATTGGAAATGGCTTTTCCCTAGCAGGTTTTGGGAGTGTCAATATTTTCTCCCTGTCCTGTTGCAGTCTGCAGCACAAGGACACCTGGGGGTGGGAGAAGCTTCAGGGGTGGCCCAGTCCCACCCCTGCTCTACGGAAGAACTGCAGAAGGAATGATGTCTTTTCCCCATACAGATGTCAGTTGGAACTTGCTGGTTTAAATCCTCCTTTTGCCCTCATGTGAAGGGTGCCCTTGTGCTGAGGGGAAGGGTTGGAGACCAGATGAGACTAAATAGGATTTTACTTTTTTGTGGTCTTAGGAGTTTCCACTGTCATCAGTCTCCTGGTGGTGTAAGTGCAGCCTCTGGCCATGCTGACAACACACAAACCTCTTGGTGCCCTGCAGTCCCTGCAGATCTTGGAACTGCTGAGAACCAGGTGCTCTGAACCAGGAAATCACTGTGGTCACCCTGGTGGTAACTTGTCAGGGACCTTTCCTGGCACGTGTCTGAAGTAGCTGATGCCCTGAGCTGCAGGCGGGGATGGTGCAGCCCCCAGCAGGTTCCACGGGTGGCTGCTCAGCACAGTGAGGCTCTGCTGGGGACCTGCAGCCTGGTGACACATCCCGTGTGGATCCACAGGCAGCTGCTGTGGGTGCCTGGGCTTCTGTCCTTGTCCCTGCGGCAGCACCGCTGGTTCCCTTCCCAGACGCTGGGAGGCACTTCCGATACCAACACAGAAGGGTTTGGGCAGAGCGCACCCTGCAGGTGGCTGAGTAAACAACAGACCAACGTTGGCCATACGGGTAAGAGCAGCAGCAGGGCCTGCGCTCAGCCTGGGTTTAAAGAAACCAAATAAAGGAAACCCCGTGAGAGCCCCCCCGCAGCCCCCGCTCTGACGTCACGGGACCTCCCGCCCGCACGGGGGCGCTCCTCGCCCTGCGCCGCGCGGGAACCGCCCGGCCTCGAGGGCCCCCGTGACGTCACGGCGCACGGGCGCTCTCTGATTGGCTGGTGGCGGCGCCG